ACGGACGGATTCACTAAAGTACGGTTTGAAAATTTCAAAATAATTTTAATTGAGCAAAATAAATTTAAAAAAATTGTACACAAAATGATTTATAATCTGCAATTGTTTCATTGTGATGACAACAACAAATTATAATACTTTTCTTTTAGATATTTTATTTCTTAAAATTATTATATTCATGTTGTCTTCTTTGGACTATTACGAGTTTTTATGTATTCACTTTCTATATAGCTAGATAGACCAATGTTTTGATTTGGAGTTCCGCATAATTTGGGGTTGCTCGCTTCACTTTCTACGAATATTTTGTTTAAATAAATGTTTGGAATAGGATTTTCGCTCCTTTAGTTTTTTTATATATTTAATTTTTGTTTGTATAATTATTGTTGTTTGTATATTAACCAATAAATATCATAATATACATGAATTATGCAAAAAGCAAGGACACGTAGACAGAAGGATTTGTATCCAGTAATAAACTAATATTTTTTTCATTTGTTAAAGTCTTATTGCATTTATTATGTCGTTTTCTTTTTCAAATACAATAATATTTTTATAAAAGTAAATGCATTGTGGTAGGTCAGTGGTGCGCAAAATTTGTTGAAGCGCGACCTCTTTTTTATATTTTTTTTGTAAACAAAGAGATGTTCTCAATATTTCTCCAATTGCGACTTCATCTATTTGCAATTGAAATGAAACAACATGTTTTTCAAAACATTAATAATTACACTTAAGGTATTCACTTGAACAGCTGTTGAGACCGCATTGCTACAGCAGCACGTCAACTCAAGTCTAACTTTTCCAATTTTGGAAACATCAAATCCAATGGAACAAACAATCTTTCGTGAATCATTGAGAAGTTATTAAAATTATATCGGCATGCAATACATGGAACAAACAATTTCAAACCACTCCATAGATTAACAATAAATAGGATTATTTAAAATTTAGATATAATATTTAGTATTTGTTATTGTTTCTATTTGGATTTTTTTTAATATCTTGAAATATATTATAAAACTAAATTGAAGTAATATTTTGAAACGTTTGCATCTAGTATTCCTATGACCTTCAGGTTTAGCTAAAACTTTTATGACGTTATTAAATAAAATCGAATAAAAAAGTAAATCAATGCGTCAATCGAACAGAATTATGAAATTTGTAATACTTCAGTTTTAATTGTGATACCAATTTATGAATAATGTATCGTACTGTACTTAGTTTATATAGCTATTGTTTTCTAACATAAGAAATGCATTCTTGGTGCGATCTGAATTACATGAAATAAATTGTTTAATAGCAATCGCAATACCGTATTTTTATGTGAGCTTTCAACTTGATCTACTATCGTGATAATTTACAGCTTTGTAAGTTTGTTAGTAATTATAATCATATTCTTATATAATTTACCACAAACATAATTTTTGAATTATTAAAATTGACCATATCCATTGTCTTCAATTTGAATTTACTAAAAATAACTCTTGGGTTTAATTAAAGGGCCAATGAATATTTACTTAAGTGCATAAGTTTTGGTATATTTAAATTTACATTTGTTTAATTAAGTTTTGTGGCTCTGCAAAAAAATGGTAACCTGTTGTTGCCTCGGGAAATAAAGGTCTGGTAATATCCAGGGTTAATCATAGGCGTTGTTGGTCATGTACGGCGCTTCTTTTTCTATATATCAATTAATATTGAAAGTGACATGAAAGAATTGAGGACAAATTTGGTGCTGAATTATTAAAATATTGATACCATATAGAAATATCCGGATGTCCGTATGTGCTTTTTAATTGACGATGACTTCTGCTACGTGTAAAAGGCAATAATGACATATTAACACGTTACACAAGCTGTGTGTAATGTTGTATTTAATTATTAATTTCAAACCGTTTAATTACTTTCGATGTGTGACCCATTGAATCATTGATATATCTCCACAGTTGAAATTAAAAACCAGTTATTTTTTCTTTAGCACATTTTGTTTGTAAATAATAAATGTTTTGAATGAATGACCAAGTTGCGCGGGTGAATGGAAGAAAGTTGTTGGGGTTTCAAAGATGGCGTTTATTTACTACATCGCTTACACTATATTACTACTGTCTAATACTAATAATTATTACTGATCATCTCCATGCTGTGCTGCCACTTTTTACAGCGTTTTTGCGCTTAAACAATAAACATAAGTTTTTTTTGGTCGAAACGACCAATTTTTTTAAATTTAAATTTGATTATCTATAAATCAATGCTATTATTAGTAATAACAATGTATTTGGCAGAAAAACCTATAGTCAATAGCCATTTGCAGCAGTTGAATTTTAGTTTATTTTTATTATTGTATTGAGTCTTTTTTTAATTTTGTAATGTTGCTAATGTATTTTATAGAACTTAAAAAGCAGTCCAAATATATCTAAAAATAAAGTTATATAAACTTCTAGTATTTTAAAAATAATTCTTATTAATTTGAATCTGTACGATTCGACTAGTTTTTCTAGAATAATGCGTAATATAAGGATGCATATATGGAAATCGAAGCGAAAATCTGAATAGGACAAAAAGGTGCTTTATTTTTCCGCGAAAAAGCCATGATTTAAGCAAGTTCTTAGGAATTCAGTCGCAAATACCGCCTTGTCAAGCGTTGCATATCCACATACAGACATATACTCACTCACACGCTTACACATCCTACTTCTTGCCATATTAATGAGGTGTATACTCCGCCATACCCCAGACGTGGGTGTATTTGCTGAATAGCATTTTTACTACAACACACATTGCTCGGTGACACCGAAGAGAAACCATATCAGAATCGGCGGCTCCTCATTTCTCTCCCGTAACAAACACAAGTTGTGCGTGCATTTCCAGTGAGTTGTAGAAAGTGAGTTACTTATAAACAAAACAAAACAAATAAGTTGTATTCAGTGTGTGATTACCATCCGACATCTTGCACATTTCGAGCTGCTTTAGTCCTACCGGTGAGCGCAATCCTCCCGAGGTGCAAAATTGCTAGGATGACTAGAAACCCTTTGCCAGTGGATGCCTCCATCCTAGCAGTTCCAGCCGCGCAAATAATTATTTCAACGGCATTCCAAGAACTACGAAAGGCGCTCATTCTGTTCAAGTACGTTCGTTCGTTCGTTTATTAATTCCCACCCTGACATTATTTTCGATTGACCATCTGAACTTGATGATTGTTTATTATCCTGCGCGATGCGAATGCATGTGCATTCAAGTCCGACGTATTGTTCGACCAAAACAAAAGACGAACGAGCCGACCTGATTGTTCCGCATTTGCGGTAAACAATTCCAGTATGCATTCACTATCAAATTCTTTACTACGATATAATTTTTAGTAATCATTCATACTTGAAAAAGCTAACCGGATGTATAATTGCATTGTAATTGCAGATGGAATAAAATATAATTGCGACTTAAAAGAAAAATTTGCTGACGATGCGTTAATGCAGACATCCGATATGAATACTGTAATTACATAAGTATATTCAAGGGCGGCAATTTATTTTTATATATGGTACAAACATGGGCAGTTTGTTTATTAGGGCCAAAAATTGACATACATATGTGGTTTTAGGCCCCCTTGCGCCCTATTATCAGTAGCCACCACTAGGTAGAAGGAATGAAAAATTGAAATTTGAAGCATTGAAGCAAATAATATTCTAGATTCTAGATCTTAGTATTATGGTCAAATTAGATAGATAATAGAAATAATGATATTAATTATTGAAATAGTTAAATTCCGAAAATTAAAAAAAAATGAAGTAAAAAGTCTTCAGTTCCAATGAACAAATCATTAATTAAAAGTTGAAAAGCTCCAAAAAAAAGCCGATTTTGAGAAATGTTTTGAAAGGAAATTATGTAGAGAAATTACAAAAGGATGAAAATTAAATATATTAAAATAAAATTGTTTTTATTTTGTTTTTTTCCAGCCAACTTAGCTGAATATATTGAAATTTATGTATTTATTATCTGATAAAATGTAGATATTTCCTCATATCTACATTAATCATTTATAATGAATAATTAGGTAAAGTTGTTTAATCAGTACAGTGATTTAACTTCAAGATAGCAAGTGATACTATTGTTATATATGAATATTTATTAAAAAATATCAAATTATTGAAAATATAGGTTTCTAGGATTATTAATATAAAAAAAGAGTGATGCAAGTCGATGTGGACTGGTGTGGGCTGTAATTTGGCACATCAAGCACCCACATGCCAAGCAAATAAACGCCACTTGACCTACAAAAATGTTTACGGAAATGGATTAGTCTCAATTGAGATCGAATCGCGGCTGTTGACTCGACTGCAATTTGCAGCGCAAATAATTAATGGAAAATTTCACCGAAATCCATTAGCTTTTCGTTTTGGATTTGCGTGCAGTTGGAAATTCGAGACTTCGAACGTACACGCGTCGGAATAAAACTTTGCTGTTCTTGTAGTTTTGAGTTGCACGCCTTCGCCTTACCATTTACATAATCTGCATATCCACACATTGCAGATTTTATTACTCGTTTCAGTACAGTTTCATATGCATTTCTTGTTGCGTAACGAATAAGAGAGAGCGCCAGGTAAGACGCTTTTCGAATTTTCATTTCTGTTTTTGTTTTCATTGCCGTGTTCCTGGAGAAAAGAGTAAATACGCTCTCTAATTAAATTCTTAATGAGTTTTATGTTTTAATTGGTTTCAATGAAAAAACGGGGCTTATGTACAATTTTGGACGCTCTAATTGCGGAACCTCGCAATGGCAGATTTTTCTACCTACGGACATTTAGTCTTAACCGAATTGTGTCGTAGTTATGTATCGTACCAAATCTTTAGTATTAAAGATACATTTGAAATGTCAATGTTTAAGTCGATATATGCAGGAAACTATGGAGAGGTGAACAATGCCGAAAGCAGTGAAAGTCTTTTTACCCTGCCCTTGATCTTATATCGAATTAAGAACGAATTAACATTGTGATTATTTTTTGTTATTTTAGGTGGTTCCACGGTCACCTGTCCGGAAAAGAAGCGGAGAAATTAATTCTGGAGCGTGGCAAGAATGGTAGTTTTCTAGTACGCGAGAGTCAATCGAAACCGGGCGATTTTGTTCTTTCCGTCAGAACCGATGACAAAGTGACACACGTTATGATAAGATGTACACAGGTAATTGACCAGTGCTCTATACGAATTAATAGAAAATTGAAAAAGATCGTCTCGTTTGTTTAGGATAACCGATACGATGTTGGCGGTGGCGAAAAATTCGATAGTTTAGCGGAGCTTATCGAGCACTACAAGAGAAATCCAATGGTTGAGACAACTGGAACGGTCGTGCATTTGAAGCAACCCTTCAATGCCACACGAATCAACGCTAGCGGTATACACAATCGAGTCAAACAATTGCAGGTGCGTTAATTCTGAATTGCTATTTTATTAATTGCAGAATTTAAAATGTATCATTTATTTTTTTAAGGAGGAGAGATATGAAACTACTGGTAAAATGGGCGGATTTTGGGAAGAGTTTGAATCTTTGCAGCATCAAGAACAAGAAAAGCAGTATTCGAGGAACGAGGGAATCAAACCGGAAAACAAAAACAAAAATAGATACAAAAACATATTACCATGTAAGTTTTTAATTTGAGATAATATTTATTTATTCTTAATTATAATGCTGTTATTTCAGTTGATGAGACTCGAGTAAAATTGAAGAACATCGATCCAGAAGTGCCCGGTGCTGATTACATAAATGCCAACTACATACGTTGGAAGGCTGACGATAATTTAGGTTTTAGCGACTACAGTGATCCCAATAATAAAGTTTACATAGCTACACAAGGTACATTGCATTCAATTATTTATTAAAAAATATGCCTTTTCATTTGCTATTTTCACGCTATTCCAGGCTGTTTACCATCTACAATTCCCGATTTTTGGGAAATGGTGTGGCAGGAAAACTGTCGTGTTATTGTTATGACAACCAAAGAGACAGAGAGAGGAAAGGTAAGAATTCATAAACACTGATTACATTATAATATTAAAATCTTTATTATTCTATATTAAAATTAATAAAAACAATAACAATACTTTTCTATAGATTTATTATTAAAAATGTCTAATTGACATCTAATCTTATCTGCAACATAATTAGTCTTTTATAATCAATATGTGTTTGTTATTAATTAATTACTTGTTTGGGTATAAATTGAGTTACATAGTTAATATTTGTTTTTACATATATACAAGAACATTTTTATTTTTATATACTATATCATACAAAATTACTGGAAAAATAGTTCTGTTAATTTAGTTTTTTCTTGAATTAAATATACTATTTAGTACTTATTTCTCAAGTTAACTAACGTCTTAAACGCGTTATACCGCATAAGTCTGTTAAGTGAATTACAAGCATGAATCATAGCTTAATAAAAACTTTGTTGTATAATCATTACAAGCCAATGGAATGTAGTCATGAGGCTAGTCTAAATATTGACCAGCCTTAAATCGCATTTGGTTAAGCTTATGAATTCAATATATTTTTTCATAATTGTATTTATATCAATAATATGAATAATTCATTTAATTTTGCAAGTTTATGATCGATAAAACTCCAATCTTGTAGATGTTAAAAATTTAAATTATACTAATTGTATTCGATTGATATGGGTAGTGTGGGTCACAATGTATTTCGATGAGGCTAAAGAACATTTTTTTTTATAGAACAAATGTGCCAGATATTGGCCAGAGGAAGGTGATTCAAAAGAGTATGGACAAATCAAAGTAAAGAATTTAATAGAAAACTCCAATGTACACTACACACTCAGAGAGTTCCTAGTGACTATGGAGGATTGCGCAACTGAGAGGAAAGTGTTTCACTACCACTTTCAGGTAAATATATCCGTTTGTCTATAATTATGCGTTGTTACTTAAACGAATGTTGGTTTTTTAGGCTTGGCCGGACCACGGTGTCCCGTCCGATCCAGGAGTGGTGCTTAATTTCCTGCAAGACGTAAACAAACGACAGGAGGCTTTGGGCCAGGAATTACCAGATAACAGCGCTCCAGGAGCCGTCCTCGTCCACTGTTCAGCAGGCATAGGTCGCACGGGAACGTTCATTGTTATTGATATGATTCTGGACCAATTGAAGAAGCACAATCTCGATTGTGAAATCGATATACAGCGCACGGTGCAGATGGTGCGCTCGCAAAGATCCGGAATGGTTCAAACCGAGGCACAATACAAGTTCGTATATTTGGCTGTAAAACACCACATTGAAACAACCACTGAAAGAATTAAGGCTGATCAAGTAAGGAAGCTTCAAGTTGCATATAATATTCAAATTTAAATATGTATTTTATGTTTTTTTTTAGAAATGCATGCAGATGGGTAGGGAGTATACGAACATAAGATATAGCAGTGATTTAAACACGTTGACCAATAGTCTCAGCGGTATTGGCAGTTCGTTGTCATTGACAACTAACCGATCGTCTATCAGTTTGCCATTTTCGCCACCTCCCACGACTCCTTCAAATGTGCGCGATGGCAAGAAGATAAGCCGCGAAATGTTGCTTCCCAGGTAATCATATCATAATATATTCTGTTGAAGTACAATATTAATATTATATTATAGGCCACCAGATGACCTTCCCAGATCCAAACTGTATGAAAACATTCCCGTAAAAGAGCCTAAATTGTCTGTGGTTAATTTGGCGTCCAGTCATTGCGTGGCGCCGCCCCCGCCACCTAGAAAAACGTGACGCAAACACCATATTCTCCTTATACTATAACTTCTAAGTAGATTTTATTGATATACGTTCCATTTATATATTTTTTTAATTTTATTTTCTCTTTGATATTAAATCAATGTGCAATTTGAGGAAAAATATATATATATTAAAAAAAATCTAGCATATCTGTGTAAAAGACAAAAATCGCACCCAAGTATAAAATGTATTTACGCTTTATTCAATGTGTGGAAAACTTAATACATGTAATATATATATAATATGTTGCCGATTGATTTATATATATATATACAAAAATATAAGATATAAATTATTTATTTATGCTAATGTTTTAAGCTTTGCTGTGAAAAATAATGAATATATAATATCTGTTGGTTCGAAATGGATTGGAGAGAGACCAAAAAATTGTCTGGTGCTTACTGTTCTCTTGAGAAGATCTTTTATTGTAAGTTTGTATTGTTTATGTTTCTCTTTTCATTATTGTTGATTATTGCCGCTACGTTTCTTCATACTTGCGTTGTGTCAGTTTATATTAAAATATGTACATAAATTTAAACTACTACAGATATATATGTGTACATGTCCATGCATGTATCAATTGTTGGTTCTGTGTGTTTTTTTTGCTTCTTGAGAAATTGTCGAGGAGATATGTATATTATAGGAACTATGACAGGAAAAGACGACTGGAAAATCAAGAAGTGAGATGAGAGATATATCGGAGAAATTTTATTGGGTAAAGAGATGTTTTTATCAGATCGAATATATATTATATATTTATAAAAGTGATTTTTTTTAAATTTTTTTTTACTATTTTGATCTTCTGGTTGGCCCGGAAGTGAACAATTTTATATGGTATTCTTATGTAATTTATTATGTGAGATTAAAGTGAATGTTTTTTTAAAAATTCTATTTCAAATTATTTTATTCATCTAACTATCCTAGTTTTAAAATAATTAAACGCACCTGTACTTAGAAACTGCTTATATTAATTTAGTTCGTTTTTTCTCTGCATAGACTTTAAAATGCTAGACTTCAGTAATGCTATTTAAATTTATGATATCTGACTGCAGATCGGATCAAAATCCGAACTATGTTACTCAGCGCCTCCTGGATTTTTTTAAAATTTTAATAGCATATTCATGTCCCTCAAATGCACCTGTGGCCATTCCCAAAGTGGGCGAATCACTGGTTTAGAGTAAAACCTGTGTTTTATCGGAACCTTACTAAACCTATGCTAAATTAAAACTATCTATTTTTGCAAAAAAATAATATTTGTGAAATAATTCCGTCACAAAAAAGGCATTGATAAAATCAAACTTCAAATATTACATTAATATTTTATCGATAAAAATTGAATTTAAAACTCAATCAAGGATATATAAGGTAAAGTAAATAATACAATCAATACAAAATATCAGTTGCATAATGTTAATACACTGATGATTTTTTCATAGTAATCTTTTATGATTACTTTTATTCTATAAACAATGAACTCAATATTAATGCACTTTCAGCGCTATTTAGGACTCTAAATTATTAACATAATCATATTTTACATTTTTTATATATAAATTTCTGCTGTAATAATAAGTACACTTTTTTAGTTTCTCTTTTCGTTTTATTATTTAGAACAATTTAAAAAGCATTATATAATAATATATTTTAATTGTGTTTGGTTTACACAAATCGGTAAACTCTTTAAATAAGTTTCAATTGTAATTTTCGCATTATTTGCTGTGTGAATCATTATAAAGTATTATTATAGTCTAATAATACCATTGACTATTAAATTGCTAGTTGATTCATAATATTATAATGTGTTAATATTTGCACATATATTAAAAAATCATAAATGTAATAACAAATATACCAAATTACTTTTATTATCATTATAACTTTCTTAGAATAGTCAGAATAAAATTGTGTAATTATCTTTGATTTTATAAAACTCTTATTTGCTCGATTTAAAAATATTTATCAATCGTTCAGGTTTTATGTATTCGTATCAACATATAACAGATTTCTGATCTTAGTTAAGGAGAACTAATTGTAAAAAAGGACTTCAATCAAAATATCTTTATTCATACAAATAAAGTGGAACCTCGCTTTAATCCGTTTCAAAATTTTCGGATTTTTACTCGTCTGGTGAAACACGTTTTCCCATATAAACTAATGTAAATTATGATAATTACCTTGCCGGAAAAAAACATATAACTTGGTCTCGATTTTTAATGATTTTGCTTTTAATATCTATGGTTCTTTTTATTCTTTCGCTTTTTATTCGGAGACATGCAAGTGTTATTAAATTTTGCACAAAAAAAAAACACAAATCACATGTCTGAACATTAGTTTGGAAATTTTGTGATCATAAATAACACTAAGATGCAACTAGAATGAACACTAACATTAGGAACTGTTTTCCAATTCACACACGGTGAAGTGAGTTTATATTTGTTTACATTACTTGTATCAATTCGGGGACTTGGTGGAAGTCTCTTTATACTTTTAATATTTGTTTATATAAAGAAGTGTTTATATATTGTTATTATAATGGTTGCATTAACAGCAAACACAAATTATATTTGCAAAGTATACAAAGCTTTAAACAAAGATGACAAAGAAAATCGAATATGATTAATATATTCAAAAATACACATAATGTGTACACAAGTTTTAAAAATGATCTAGAGTGCTCGCAATCCGGGACTTCTCTTCTCATCGTCACTCGTTATGCGAAATGTTGCTCGTTAAGCGAGGTTCCATTATATAACGATAAACATACTTAATAAATATTTCATACAAAATAAATATAACCATTTTGTTTGTTCTGTTAGATTTGTATATCATTGAATCATTAAACTAAAATAAAATGAAACTACAGTGGAACGTCGTTTAACAAGCAAAATAAATTGTAAGAAATATGACTCGCAAAATGGAACACATTATCGTATATTACATAATAATATTTTTAATATAAAATTACTCAAATATAGTTATTAAATAGTGAAAGCCATGGGTTTTATTTATAGTATGTTAAATGAGTAATTGAAATAAATTAATATTTACTGTTAATTAATACCTGGTATTTCCATTAATCATTTTAATATTGTTTAATCATCTAAAAAAGATATTCGTATTCACAAATTGTTTTATTTGCTTTCTGAATCGTCACGTATGAACCATTATTAGTTTGTAGTAGCATCATAACAATAATTTGTACATAAGAAAAATTGATTATTTTCGTTTAACCTATTGTTAAATAAAAGGTTAAATCTGATGGAATGCGGTTTGCATGTTAAATATTAATGACGGAATGTTTTCCTTAATTTTACAACGAGCGTTTTGGTATCAGTTGTATTTGAAAACAATTACTTATTTGCAGTATTTGCAGAATAGAGTATATTTAAATCTGACAAGTCAAATTAAAGTTATTATCCCCACCTAAAATGTGATATCACACAGCTAAATTGTATACTGAATACAAGATTCGTTTCAGTTGATAACAATTCGTTTTAGAATGAAACTTAATCGGAGTTGTTTATTTTTATTGTTACTATTTTAGCAAGAAATGAGTTTATTGCTTTCGAAACATCTCAAGTTACGTTTCGGTATTGTGATGCTGAAAATATATAAAATATAGGAATGCTCGGTATTTTTGTAGATAGTTTGGCAGATTTAGTTGGTATATCATTTTTTCCGTGTTGTGGTATTGAAATGTTGAACCAGCGTGGACGTTGATTCTGATTGGTTGGTGGTGTTGCTGTGTGGTGTGAAGCGGGTTTAAGGTATGGTGGGGCGTTTCGTGTTTTCTTTTACACTTTTTTGCTTGGTGTTTGTTAAAGCAGCAGGTGCTACGCGAAGCGTTTATATAAAATAAAACCCGTAGTCTGAAAGCACCAGAAAGGAACGATTGGTAACGACACCAGAAGGACATGCGCGTTCTGCGAGTCGAATTCTGTCAAGCTGCACCAACTATCGCGGAAATAAAGCATCTTCACGAGCAGCGGGTACTTTGATAGGAGTGGAGAGTTCTTTCAGAGCCAGTGGCTGGACCTGAAGCAGTGACCGTAGAGAGTTTGGTACTGGTGCGAAGCGCGTTTCATTTTCCGCGGCTCCGTGACAAGATAGTGTTTGTGTCAATGTACCGGGGTAGAAATATTCATGTCTTCGAGCCAGGGCACAGATATGGACGTTGATTCCCCATCGGGGACTCTGAAGAGGTGCTCAAGTGCCCCCATGATTAACGAAAACAATACCGGGATGACAACCTCGCCCCCAGCAACCACCTCCACCAGGTATTGCTATTAGCAGCACTTACACAGTCTGCTTGACAACTAGACCTAATTCTTATTATGTAAAGAGATCAAGCATTCAAATCCAGACAGAAAGCAGACAGACAATACTTGCAACCTAACAAATTGCCAAATTTTTCTGTTCTATCATCATCAAATCTGCCTGTAACCAAGAGAATCTCCATTATTTTTAACTTTGCTTTTTTAAATTTAGATTCTCTACTTCCTTAATTATAATGATAGTATTATTAAAACATACTATAACATCTACTTAAAATTTCCTTTTCGATTAACAACAACTATAATGAAACTTGAAATCGTACATTCAACTACTTATAGTTACTATATGTAAAATATGTTACTTACAATGTACAATTAGATACAACATATTTGACTTGCAAGTTTTTTTTTGCATCCAACAACCAATTAATTTGATTTGCAATTCTGATCATTATACATATGTAGATTACTTTTTGTGTTGTTAGTATATTCTCAAAATTAAATTATAATGAAATTTCATGTGGATGATTTTTAGCCATATTTTTTTTTAGCTAAATCAGATTGCTATGTATATAATTCATATAAATAATTTTATCATCTGTGTATTAGAAATTCTATGAAGATTTTCATCATTTTTCTATTTACCATATATTTTTGTTATGAAATGATTATAAAAAAAAGCTTTAATCAATCCACTATCAAATTTTAACATATTATCTCTTCTTTATCATAAAAATTATTGTTGAAGACTGAGTAAAGACTAGGTTGTGTTATTATTATACTATATTTTATATACTATATTTTATATTATATATTTCTTTTCCAGGGAATCTGGTAGTTTTAATTTCTTTGGTGCACAAAATCCCCCAAGGACTAGAAGATTTAGTGCTAGTTGTAGTCCTCTAACAGGTTCACTTGTAAGTATATTCCTAATCACGTTTCTATAGTTATTTATTTAATTTTTTGTAGGGTTCAAACGTTCGTCTAGCCCCTAGGATAAATCAATTGAGACAGGAAGAGTTTGCAGATTTAAGTAATTCACGGGAATTAGCGCACGAACGTGAAATCCATCATACTATGCAAATATCCCAGTCTTGGGAGGATCTGCGTCTTGTCACTGAATCGCCGAAACCTAATAAAATGGCACCGCTTCACGTCAATCTACCACCTTATAATATGGGATACAATTCGCCATCGCCTACTCGATTAAAGTATGTACTACCATAACGCAAAGTGACGTCTTCACTTTAACTTAAAGTTCTTCATTTTGTAGTTCGCCTGTACAAAGTTTTCAAAGCCCAACACGAACTGCTCGCACTTACGTACGTAGATCAGCCAGCCCTGTGCTGCGTCCGAGCCCATTGGGGGTAAAACGCAAATTGGATGAGGACAAGTCCGAATACCATTTGAGTCCACGAACGAAACGTGTGCCCAGTTATACTAATTCGGATAGAGTAGGACTCTTGACTACTTCCAGTCCAGTACCTGGTTCATTGAGTTCCATCGGAACTCCGGAAAGCATCTCCAGTGCAGATTCCCCTAATTTCCAGTGCCGAATGATAGACAGTCCGTCGCCCAGCAGGTCGACCGAATCTATGGCCACCTCTAAACATGACCAAGAAATGGCTGAGGGCCCTAGTTAAGTAACGCAACAAGTCGGATTATTAATAACTTTTATATTCATGACAAATTTCCTGGCGGATTACACTCAGAGAGATAATTTAAATTTTTGCAAATAAATGTAAATTTGGTTAAGTTTGGCGCAACCCTTGGTGATGCTCACACACACACTGCCAACGATATTTTTCTCAATCGGTTAATATGTGTTGTCTTTTAGTTTCTTGTGCCAAGTTAAGTAGTAGATATGTAGTAAATGAATCCCAGCAGTGCCAAATATTCGCCAAATTTAGTATACTTAGCCAATCATCTAGTTGTAGATTAGGTTTAAACTCATCCCTGTGATAAAAAAATGTTCGTTTCTCCAAATGAGAGACTCTTTGATCTATCCGCCAGGAAATTTTTCGAGAGAAAGAGATATTATTTTGTATATTGAGTGCAGCTTGAGTCACTATAAATGTATATTTTATATTAATTGAAAAGAAGTAACAAAAATTAAGGGATTTTTATAAGTCATTTGGATAACAGCTTGTACATATAATAGTAATTAATAATTTTGTGAGTGAAGATGAAAGCACACCTATTGGATGCAATCGAAAGATGGTGTTCTTTCTTAAACGCAGCACGTGGTTTAAAAATTATCTCTAAAATTTTATCGATTTCGTAACAATTCAAACATCTAGTCTAATTATTACGATTCCCCACGCCACCAATTCCATCTAACCATTGGGGACGATTTCGAAAAACAATAATTATCTTTGTGCAAATTTAAAATAATGTAATCTTTGATACTCTCCCTTTATCCTTAAGGTGCTAAAACAAAGATGTTATTATTGTTTTTTTTTTTCGTTTTTAGTACAATTTGAGTTTCTGTTTAATATTTCATTCAAAATAATTATTGTTTCGTTATGTTATTTACAATATTGATATCATGTATATTATATTCGGATATTATATTTTATATCCACTGATATATATAATTATATTTATATATATATTTAAAAATAGTAATATTTTAATTTTATAATAATAATTATATTCAACTTTTGAAATAGTTGAAACTACAAGCATAGTTTGATTATACCAATATAGACTGAAATAACAAGCAACATGTACATGTAAATAATAATTAAAATGCTGTTAAATCTTGTTTCTAATACTTTTTTTTTATTACCCTTCTAAGGTCACAATGATATTCGATCTTTGATTGTTGACTTATTTATTTTTAACTGTTCTTTCAGCAATTAATTTCGCTACAATCATCATACGAAAAATTAATCGATAAAAAAAATTAAACCTAATTTTATTTAATAATCACGATTATGTTATTATATATTTTTTATTAAATTTAAATGTGTAATTTGATTAAAAACTGAATACGGAAATTCCTAACACAGTGCCGAGAACTGACGTCAAATGGTACATTTGTATGAATATGAAGTACGTTTGTGCGAAAACTTGGGAATTGCGATAATATAAACAAAACATAATTATTCTCTTTAGATTAAAGACTGCCATTGTCGTTTTAGTTATTCGATTAAGTTGTTCTTTATTTCAAGTTTATTTTTTTATAAAGTCCAATTGTTTAACCACTAAAAATGTATCCGTTGACCTCTTTAACATTTAATATCTGCGGTTTTATGGTACGTTTATGTGTTTGTGGTGCGGCGGATATTTTTCATTGGTCTCTTATTTTAATCAATATTATTGCATTGTTTAAAATTATGCACTGTGGTATTTTGTGTGATTGATAGAAATAACTAGAAGTGTAATAATCTTTAAAAATCTTTTAGGTTTATAGCAATTATTTTAATATTCTACTTTTTTTGCTTCAATAAATATTATGAATGTTATGCCACTATTTACAGAGACTCATACATTATTATTAAATTGCTTAAAGTGAATTGCTGCAATTAACCATCAAGTTGCAATAGATGACCATTACTACTGATTATGTAAACAAACTAATATAGATAAAGGTTGAGTTTTCCTTGAAACTTTATATGTAATCCTATGACTAGTATTGCATAGGATTGTTGATAATGATAATAAAGAAAAACTTATAAATCAATATTTTGATATTATTATTTTAAATAATGTTATATATTAAACTATTAGTTATATTGGTAAAATAGTTTTGTTTGAATACAATTTTAATTAATTTATTTTCAAATTTCAACATCTAAACCATTGACAAAAATTGTGGTCAATAAATATATTTAAAAATAATTACAGAGATAAAATAAATAAAAACACTAGATTTCTCTCTTATTACCCTTAGGTATTTTTACCTTTCACAATCTTATTATTTATTAAATAAGTAAACATTAATTTGTAATTGCTTATTATTATAACATCGTGAAAGAGAGGCAATTATATTTTCATTACGCTGATAAAAAAGTTGCCTATGACTATATTAGTTACTATATTTACTATTACTTGATATATGAGTTTATATGCATTTATATGTTTTAACGTATCGCATCTATGTATAAGACGCTCCTTGAAGATAACATGCAAATAATTATTCTTGACACTTTTGTCTCCATTTTTTTAAAATTGAAAAATCATTAATTATTATATTATAAATATAAAGTGTAGCTGAAAGAAAATTACTTGATTATAAACAGTAGCATGGTTAAGTTATTTCAGCTCTTCAATTAGTATGTGCTTGAAACTAAATACACATATTTATATCACCATGAACTTCTACCAAACGTTCTTGTAATCTTATAAATGTATTTGAGTATACAGCCCCTCCATTGGATAGTTTTAAAGCCCACTTTAGGACCCACTGCTATACAGATAAATAAGGTACTTTAAATAACATTACAAAATATGACTTATATAATTTAAAAGATGTCGCTAGTGGCATTTAATCTTCTGTCAAATTGGATCGCAGGTGGCGCAAAGATCGGGTACAGTGTTTTGTTGGTGTGTCTGTCAAATAAATCAAATATTTCAGTCTTGTGCATAGCGAACATGGCGGCAACACGTAAAAGGCAGGACGAGAAAAATTTGAAAACTCTACGTGAATTAGTGTCGTTAACGCACAACAAGCACTGTTTCGAGTGCAACCAGAGAGGCCCCACTTACGTGAACGTAACCATCGGAAGTTTCGTCTGCACAAAATGTTCTGGAATGTTGTAAGTCCCTTTACACCTACTATCCCATTCACGTTTCAAAAGGGAACAATTCATAAAATTCTCTATGTAAGCACCTTAACAACAACAAATAAACGATGAACGAAGAAACAAAGAACTATTTCCATTGTTACCAGAAGTGACAATCACTTGCTTTGTCTTCGTGCAGTTGATCTAGAGATTTGTATTCCGTTTGTGTATTCATATTTTTTTGCGAATACTTTGCATCCGCATTAATTAAAGCAACGAATATTTTAGTTGTGCGGTTTAATTGTTGGATGAATGCTTTCCTATTGAAATTCGCGACGGCGGTTCTGTTCCAATGTCCTAATTTTACCAAGATGGAAATAAACAAATAAATAATATTGGCCTAGTATATTTTATGTTGTCCTCTCGGCTATTTTGTTTTCCAACCGACTTTGTGCCCTTTGCCCTTCTCTCGTACGCTACTGGCTATTTTTATGACGATATTTACATAAAACAGCCTTTGTCCATGTGTCTCTGATTCATACCTTACTCACGCATTTGAAGGAGCAATACAAAAAGGCCACTGAATGTTTGCGTACGTATATGTATTCACATACAATTCCAAGTAGATAATGGAAACGGTTTATTCGACTGATAAAATTATCATATCTTTCACCGGGGCTTTCATTTAACGTGTGGAGAAACGGTTGATCGATTTCCAGAATTTGCAGTATACGGGCTTAATGCCGGAAATCATTAAATAGAAGAAGGAGAAAAAAGAAAGGATGGATGGATGAAGCCCCGCGCGGTCCCAGAGCAGGTGCATTCAACCACCTGACCACGTCCCTAAATTGCCTCATAAAACCGAAACAACTTCGAATCCAATTTCTCTAGAACGCACACTAACCGACACGATGGTAATATGGCAGCAGGCAATAACTTCAACCGCTAAAGAAATGCAGGGATCCGGTGAAAGCATTTATTACGACCACATTTGGACTAGAACCAATTGTAAAATGCTGATGACATACCATTAGTTCGAAGTTCGCAAAAGTTTTACGGATCATTTCACCCACTGTCGCATACACATGGACATCGCTTAGCTATAATAACTAATTAACGAGTCTTGTGAAAATTTTATGTTATCGATGAATTATTGCAAGAGAAGCTCCATTTCTATCATCGGGAATTCCATTTAACTTTAGCGACAAGCGTGTTGAAGATCTTTGTTTTGTAAAAGTGAAATCTCTTTATTTTGCTTGTGATAGAAACTTAGCAACAAGCCACGTTTCTGGGATCGGTCGTGTATATTTGCAAGTAAGGACAAACGAAGGTACGGACTTAAACAACTATTTACTTTTAAATTCAATCTATTTGATTTGAAATTCCTAATGTATCAAAGAGAATATTAAATCGTAACATATATACATATATTATTGTATCTAATATGTCTAAAAGCTTTATATTAATATTTAATTATTTTTTAAGTAATTGTAGTTAATTGTTATCCAGATAATATTAACCTACATTAATTATTTATATATAGTTGTAAACTTTCAAAACTGAAATACAAATTATAAATTATAAAAAGTTAATAAATTGTTCGTTAAACTAACATTTTTATTCTTGTTCAGTGGAACCCCGCTTAACCAGCAAAATCCGTTCCAAATTAATATAATATACGATAATGCGTTCTATTTTGTAAGTCATTTTTCTTACAATTTATTTTGGTCGTTATGTGAGGTTCCACTGTAGTTTACAATTATAATTAAAATATAATTAAAGTAAAGCAAGTAATGCAAATACACATTTTAAAATAATTATTTTCATATTTAAACTACATGCGAAAACTTATTCTTTCTGAATGATTTTTACAAATTCATTTTATTTGTGATTATTACAATTTAAATATATTATAAATTATATATTCTAAAAAATATAATTAATATTTGAATACCAATTTAATTTTTAATTTATTTATAAATGAAATTAATTTATTAATTATTAGATTTGTATTGAAAATTCATACAAAAACTTGAAATAGTTAAGATTTCAGTGAAAAAATGTTATAAGATTTTTTCATGCGTTTGAATTTAAGTGCTGATCGATTTAATTCACAGGGAAGGCGGAAATTCTTTGTATATAAAATGTTAATTACATGATATGTTGACATTCTATTATAATTATGTGATTTTACAATGGTGATTTTTTTAATGGGTTTTATGTAGTATAGTTTTAAATTATATTTTAACCATATTTGGAATTGATCTTTTGAGATTTCACGTTCGGCTCAAAGCCAATCCCTCCGTTCGTCCTACTTTCGTATTTTATCATAAGGGCAGTCTTTTTTTGCTTATTGCAGCACTTGCATTGTTTGCATCAAAATCTCACTAGCTCTATGCAAAATAGATGCAAACAATTGATGATCGTGTAAAGAGAATAGGTGTGGGCGAACTCAAATGCCATACGCTAGGAACAACGCAGAATATCGTTGTTTCTTGCTGTCTCTGATCGTATTATATTATTTATAATTGCAATTTTATAGATATATCGAAAAAATCGCGTGTTGTGTAATTAGAAAAAAACATGCAATTAAGAAATGTTATGACTCAGTCGTGACAGGCGGTATCACTGTTTACTTCTGAGGAAATTAAACATACCTTCTATTGAAGGGAAAAACCGAGAGTTGTAATACACATCTGGAAAATCCTATGAACTGTCCTATAAGATTGATCCATATTCCCATTAGTAAATAGCACAATGATAAGGGGAGAATCATAAAACGTACAAATAGACATACATAATATACTATTTATACATACACATGTTTGGTCGTTGACATTCATTTTTTACTGTGTCTCATCTTCATTGATAATACAATTGTCGACTAATGCGTATATTACCATTCATTCATTAATTATGAAATAATTGTCGGGAGTTGTAGTAAATATATTTATTTGTGATTATAAATCCTAAATATGTTTAGTGTAATTCATGTTTTTTTTTCATAGATTTTTAGAAATGTAGATAGTATAGGAAAATATTATTTCAGACGCTCCTTAACTTAACTTGCAATAGTATTCATTTTATTTGTAATTAAATACAATGGTGACTACAAAAATGGATTCCGTGGAGTCATATCATGAATATGTATTTGTTGTAGAAAGGATTCTTGATATCGACAAACTTTCTTTTTTTAAATAGGTTTTGTTTTGTAGAAGTGGATGAGATGGTTTTGTGTTTATTACATTTTTTTTCTTTATTTTTATTAATACAATCGTTTACATTAATACAAATATAATATATATTTAGTGAACATTTTTAAGTATTATGTGATGTTGCTACATTTAAAATCTTACAAGAAAATAATCATGAATCTGTTACGAATTCATCCAATGCAGTAATTGTTAAAAAACGATAAATGCACGAAGTTTGGTAACCACTTATGTTACATGTGGACAAAATCTTATAGAACAGAATAATTATTCTATCGAATGTTTTTTTATTTTCAAAGTATTTACAGACTAGATTCAACGAATTAGCACTAATGGTAAATTATGTAAAAAAAGTTGATAATTTTGTTTTTTCTTATATTTATATAATAATATAGAATGCAGGCCTTAATGAAATAATAATGGAAGAAAAGAAAGGTTCTCCAGGATTTTAAACACTTTTTGAAATATTTTAAGATCTTTTTCAGTAGTGCTCTTTAAAATATTTAGTATGTTTATTTTATTGTCAATTATGTTTTCTTTTGATAAGAGTGAATACTTGTGTAAACTCATTATTAAGTTTAGATTTATATGGTTTTAATCATCTTAATTTTTGAACTATAAATAAGACAAAGTGTAAATACTTCAGATATATCAATATATAGTATTTGTATTTGCTTTGTTGTCGTATCAACATAGTTGACTGACAAATGTCTGAGTTACAGTAAATTTGACACATCCTCTTGAACCTAACGATGCGTAGAAAATTAAGTAAGGTTTGAATGCAATTAGCTACTTATGTAAAAATGCAGCAAACGTGTTAGGGTATTGTACAGAGAGGTAATTAAGATTACAGAGGAAACCATTGGAACGCCCACGTATATGTGACGTAACAATTAAGAGGAAGTCTAAAGCTGGAAATTCCTTACGATAAGGATCGAGTTGAATAATAAACGAATGAATGAGAGAAGTAAAAAAAATGATCACAAAAACAAACACGCTTTGACGCTCAGAATGTATGTACATTAATTTAATTTTGACACGTGCTATAGAAGTGTATAAATTAACTATAACAATATTTTTTCCTCACATCTTCCATGAGTAGCGAATCCATTTACAAATGTTTCAGCTCATCCCAATTATGTAATTACAACACGATGAGACGGTCTAGTGTTGTGTTTACAAAAACATAAATCCGGTTAATATTCATGAGCAAAAAATAGAAGTATGTTAGTATTTGTACGTAAGTCCGTTATGACGAATTAGGCGAACGATTTATATTTCGCTTTTCATTTCCAATTGGTTCACTTTCTTTCTTTTCCATATAGAATAAACATTTTAATTTGCTAAAATCACTAAACCGACGAAAATTTATATTTATGCTACGGTAAGCAATAAAAACGTTGTACTGTTAGCAAAATTCATTTGACCCGAATTAGAATTTTCATGAACTGTTATGTTAAATATATATTTTTGAGATTATTATAATAGCGGACTATATGTAAAAGTGCAAACTTGACTAATTTCTCTATAAACTAAACAAAATCTTGGTTACTTTAATATAAAATAAATTTTCCTTTCAATTAGCTTTCAACTATAAACTAGTTGGCTTCAATGTATTGTATTATATTTTGCTTATAATTTGTAACCCAAACTATTTTAATTATTAGTACAAATATATTGGTATAATAGAATTTAAATTGGTTAATTTTTGAAAATCATATTTATTATGCATTTTCAATAACTTATGTTGACTTTTCTACCATACGAATGTTTAGCAACCTAGGTGATTGTCAACGCAATTTGACATCTTGCGACAGAAAC